ACCCGGGGAGCCCGGCGAGTCAGTGCAAACAGAGCCCTGAGGTCACTCCGGGGCTGGGGTCAGGCCCTGCCGGGGCTGGAAACCAAGGGCCAGACTTGTGGGATTGGAAATCAGGCCTCACTGGGGGAGAAAATAACAAGTGGAGGGGCTGTTCCCTCCCCCCTTTGGGGTCCTTAAAAGAAGCCACCTGGGGAGGGGAAGAGGCGACCGTGGCTCAGTAAAGAACAAGGGAAAGGGGAAGGAGCCAGCGTCATTGTCATGGCTGCCCCCGCCCGTTCCCTTGGACCTAGCGTGACACCACTGGGCCTTCGTCATCCTGGTCCTGAGAGGTGTCCTGACCCGACCGGGCCAGGCCCAGGGAGACAGACCCACCTGCCATAGGTGCCAACTTCCTCGGTGCTGGTGGATGCCCGCACCCCTGGCCCTGCCCCGACTTCCCCCCATCCCCACCCCTGGCCCCGCCCCCATTCCGACACCATCCCCAAAGTCCCTGCCCTAACTCCACCCCTCCCTGCCCCATTGGATCCCTTGCCCAAATCCCTGCCCCTGCCCCACCTCTTCCCCCAGCGTGCCGCATTCCGCGCGCCCGCCCCGCGAATCAGCTGTGTCACGGCGCAAGCGCTGGGAGGGAGGAGAAGCAGGAGGCGGTGGCGGGCTCGCGGAGGTGAGCTGGAGTAGGGGGGGCAGGGCCGGGCCATGGGGAGCTGCAGGTTGGTGCTGAGCACCCACCAATGTTTTTCAGTGGGTGCTCCAGCACCTATGTCACCTGCCCCTGCCCCCAGTGAGATCCAGACACCACCTGGGACGGGAGACTTTGTCTCTTCATCCCTGCCCCTTGGGCTCCTTCCTTTCCCCACCTAATTCTTCTCTTCCCGCTCCCCTCTGTCTAAGGAGCGTCTGGCTGAGCCGGCCAAGCCTGTGTGGTGTGTTCTGGGCGCAGGCTCACAGCACCCAGGACGGCGGCTATTCCAGCGTCCGCGCCAGCCCGAGGCTGGTACCGCTTGCCAGCTCTCGGCGCGGCTGATCCGGGGTCTCTGCGGCGGGGGGGCTGCCAACGAGAGGCAGCAGCCGCAGCAGAAGCTGCATTTTCTCTCTGTGCTGCTCTTTGCTCTCCCCACTGGGGCCTTTGCCGGGTTGTGCCCTGGGAACCGGGGCTGGACTTTAACCACAGCGCCCAGGCTGGCTCCAGCCCCTCCACTAATCACCTCTCCTCCCCCAGCGGCCACGTATTGCGTCCAGAGCCGGTCAGACAATGGGGGGAGGGTAAAAGGCTCTCTCCAGCGACAGGCGCAGGGGGGAGGATAAAAACCTAGTTGAAAGACAGGGCCGTAGCAACAAAGAACGTGGCCCCCTCCGAACATATGTCCAGGCGGGGCTCCTTACAATGCAGAAACTGGAATGCGGTATTTATTTTGCCACTTTTAGGGGCCCCCTTCCTTGCGGGGCCCTCTCCGGTCGGAGGGTACGGAGGGCGCTCGCTATGCCTCTGTTGAAAGCATTACATTGCAAAGGCCTTAGCTGATTTCTTCTGTGTCTGTAATAAAAGGATGGTGAATGGGGTGTTGCCATAGTACGGAACCAACTGAGGTCTGTGGATCCCAAACCAGGTTAATGCTGTTGGGCAGGGACAGGGTCGTGTTAACACCTTTGCTTCTCTGGGCCCATTTATTCCATCTAAGTTCATACAACAGTCCCCCTGATCCCCTGTGCCTGCCCCGCCCCCGCAGTCTCTGGCAGTTCCCCAGGCCCTGACTCTCACCCCCGCTGTTTTTTCCAGGCCGTCTTCGTTGCCACCTTCGACGTCTCCTCTGAGGCCGACCTGGGAGACAGGCTGCAGATCACGGCCAAGGCCGGCAGGTGAGGGGGCTGTGCAGGGCCAGGGGGTGGGGTCAGGGCAGTGCATGGAGCAGGACAGAGGCCTATGGTGCAGTCTCCCTGCACAGTTATCTGCCTGCATCTCCTCACATCTCTCTCTCCTTTGCCCTCCCCTCCCCCCAGTGACAATGGCGGCCCCATCACCGAGCGCATGATTCACCGGGCGGAGCTGCCAGTCAAGTACGGCATCTTCATCATCCTCACCAGGTAGGTCAGTGTGGAGACAGATGGGAGAGCGCCCCCTGCTGGGCCCCCTGTTCCCTGCAGCGCAGCACCCTGTAGCGCAGCACGGGGTCATAGGTGCCAGTGCTGATTGCAAGGGGAGAGCGACCCCCTACTGAGCCCTTCCCTATAGCACAGCGGTCCCTTCTGGACATGACACCCCACCACCACTTTCCAGCCCCATGCATCACACTCCTGTGTCTCTCGTTCCTTCCATCCTTTTCTTCCCCCAGCCTCGAGGAGTCGACCAAGTACATCAACTTCTCCAAGGAGGAAGGGACAAGTGTGCTAGTGACACATCGGTACGAGGTGAGGCCGGTGGCACAGAGTGTGAGGAGGGAGATGGGGCAAGAGGGAGGGAGTGGAAGTGGTTGAATGGGATCTAGTGGGTTAGGGCATGGAGCGGGAGGGGTAAGTGGAGGGATGGACAGAGAGCCAGGACTCCTGGCTTCTATCCCCAGCTCTGGGAGGGGAGTGGGGTCTGAGGGTTAGAGCGGGGGCTGGGGATCAGAGTTCCTGGGTTCTCTTCATGTTTGAGAATCTGTTTCTTTCAGGTCAAGAACCTGCGGCAGAGAAGCGTCCCCATCTCGGTCACGTTCCAGTTCCCCGTGGAGCTGAGTGGGGTCCGGGTGTGGGACGCCTCTGAGGTCGTCCCCTCCAAGGTACCTGCCTCTCCCTGCCCGTGTGTGTGTGTGAGATGGGCCCAGTGATACCTGCTCTGCCCTACAGCGCCCCCTGCTGGGACAGACTGCCTAGGCAGGAAAGACCCCAGCCCCAGAGCCAGCCAGTCCCCTGCCCTGGGGTGCTGGTGCCCCCTAGAGGGGAAGGTCCCATGACCCATTCCCACCACCATTAACACCCTGTCTCTCTGCCTCTCCAGCCCCAGCTGGCTCAGTGCACCAGTGAGGTGGGAACGCCTGGTTCAAAGGACTTTGTGAAGCAGATGAGTGAGCGCCCCCTGCTGGTGAGTACAGGCTGGTGCTGGTCTCAGCAGCCCCTTCCCCTCCGCGCTAACACAGACAGTGAGTGAGAGACTGGGTTGGGGGAGGGACCCCTGCTATAGACAGACCCAGACCCTCATGGCCATGCTGAGCCCCTGCACACCCCCTGCCTCACCCGGCGATATCCTTCCGCCCCCAGGACTGCTCCGTGGCCACCTGTAAGAAGATCCGGTGCAGAATCGCCTCCCTGGAAATGCAGCAGCCGCTGGAGTTCATGATCAAAGGGAACGTCAGCTTCCAGTGGGTCTCCCAGGTACGAGAGCTGCCTCTGCCTACCAGCACCGGGCAAGGGATCTCCCCGTGAGAACAACCCCTGAGCCCCTCCCCACAGGTGGCTGCATTTCAGTGCTGGGCAAGGGATGGCCTCTAAATTGCTCTGGGTCCCTCTGGGACGATGCTCTGGGCTGGTTTGTGTCGTTTCTGGTCAGGGACGGTGAATTTCTCTGTTCCAGACTCAGCAGCAGAAAGTGAGTCTGGTGAGCGAGGCCCGGATTGAATACGAGGAGAAGAAATACACCCAGAAGGAGGGATTCGTCCAGCGCCAGGTACCAGAGTGACTGCACCTGGGATAGAGAGAGCATCAGCCAGTGGTTAGAGCTGGGAGCCAGGACTCCTGGGTCCTGTTCCTGCTCTGCGAGGAAGTGAGGTCTGGTGTGTTAGAGTGGGGCGGGTGGTGGTGCCAGGACTCCTGGGTCCCCATTTCACAGCTCCTCTCCCCCAGGTGCAGACGGTGGTGGAGCGCTCCGAGGTCTATAACTACCTGCCCATCATAGTGGGCAGCAGCGTGGGGGGCCTGGTCCTGCTGGCTCTCATCACCACAGCCCTCTACAAGGTGAGTAGGGCAGGGCTTGGACTTCTCCCCCACAGCCCATCACCCTGGGGGCGGGGCCTCTGGCCTCCCAACAGGTGGGGGAGGGACAAGGGTCTTTCCTTCGGGGGTTCCCACAGCCCATCCTTCCTGCTCCTCCACCATGAGCCTGTGTCCATCTGGCTCTCACCATCTCCCCTCTGTCTCCTTCCAGTTTGGCTTCTTCAAGCACCAGTACAAGCAGACGATGGAGGATCATGTGGAGGGTGAGGAGCCTGTCCCGACCCAGAGCGCTGCCCCTGGAAACCCCCCTGTTTCCGATGCCCCCAAACAATAGCCCCCCATGTGCCAACACCCCCGGCTTTGCTTCTCTCTGGGCTGCTCCAGATTCACCCCGCCCCCTTATGTTGCCACCTCCAAGATGCAGAAAGACTGTCCATCCTCACACCAACAAAACACGTCCTAGTGCCAACTGGAGCCAATCGTTACTCAGATTAGACTTGGCCGGATTCTATTAATCTTTTTATAATTCTGATGGAGAATTATCCAACGTAATTATCCTGAAAGCAGCCCTAGTGACACTGTTATTACCACAAGCTTTATACACATTTAAGTTGGACTCTAAGTTCTCCTGCAACAATTTTTGTTCGTTGTCTGGAGGCATGTTTTGATTATCAATGGAAATATTGTATCGCTGGTTTTTGTGGGTGTGCGGTGAAACTGGTGTTTGCTGACAGTTACCCTCTGCCCACCCTCCCCATCTAATTCACTATTCCTGAAGTGAGAAAGGAAGTATTCGCTCAACGCTGAGGAAGCGGGCCTGGCCTATATGATTTGGTCAGGAAGGCTGCTGAAGGCATGTGGTGAGACTCTTTGGTTGAATCTGATACAGTTTGTTAAGTCAGGCACTAGTAAACATTTCATCTTTTATTTTCTTTGTAACTAATCCTGACTTTTATGCTTCATTTCTTGGACTCCCTTAAAATCTTTGAAGTTAATAAACTTGTTTTATCTAATCCAGTGTGTTTGAATTGAAGTGCCTGTTTGGTAGCTCTGTTTGGGGTGACAAGTTGTTTGCATAGCATGATCTTTAAGGAATAATGGATTTAATATAATTTGTAGTGTCTGGGAGAAAATCTAAGACTTGGGGTGTGTTGCCGTCAACCTGCGGTATAACCGAGGCTGGTGAGAGCTCGAGTGAAACCCTTAGGCAGGGCAGAGCAAACAACAGACAGTCTGATGTCCTGGCTCTGGCAGTCAGCAGACAAACACAGGCCTCTTGGCCTAAGGTGGGGAGGCTCCCGCCCCAACGGTGAGGTTGACAGCCGGGGGTAGGGGGACCCAGATCCACCCTACTCCACTGGGTCCCAGCCCAGGCCCTGGCAGAGGGTTCACCCACTGGGTCAGCGGGGAGCCTACCGCAACACATCGACCTGGATTCAGGCAACAACCCAACCAGGCTATAGTCTAGTGTCCCTAGGCTGCTTCTGACTCGCCCATTGTAATGTACCTGTGGCTCAGGGTCGTCTCCCTTCTCTTAGGGATATAAGGCGTCTGGCAGTCCTGGCACTTGGTCACCTGGGTCCGTCTCCTCCAGGGGCAGGTGTGGTGCAGCACAGGTTCAACTCTGGGGATCTGCAGCAGCCTGGAGACGTCTGCTCCCTTCCCTGGCTCACTCAACTGGGTTAGAGGTTTTGCCTTTTATACTTCCTGTCCCACCCCTTATCTTCCAGCGGGAGGGGCAAGCCTGGCCTAGCGCCGCCCACTAGGGATCAGAGAGCAGCTCCTCTTCCCGCTCCCCACCCCAGCTCAGTGGGAGGCCACTCCACCTCATCCCCCTTTCTATCACATTAGCCGTAACCCACACACTGTCGTGCACCTTCCCACACCAGTAGTGTGCCCTTTAATGTCATTCAGGTCTTTTCTTTGTCTCCCTGAGACCCATATTCCCATCCAGAAGACTTTGTGCTTAAAACCACGACAGTAGTAGTTTCAGGCATGCACCTTGTTTCTATATGTTCCATCTCACCACATCTTCTGGAGAGAAGATTACCATCCCGACCAAACTTCTTAATTGTCCTATGATCCATTCCGACTCCCCTTGGCCTGCATCTGTATTCTCTGGGTCCCAGGAGCTACTGTTTCAAATCCAGACTCACATATTGCATTTCTCTCCTTCTGTCGTCAAGGAGTGTTTTCTTCAAATCCTCTGTCTCCCTTTTAAATTCACTTTGAAAAGGGTCTTCAATCCAGAATTACTATTCTCTGACATCAGGCCAGCCTGCCCCACAAAGTACCCAGCACCTCCAAGGTTACAAGGCAACGACACATTTGCAGCCCTGCTATGGACACACCACAATTGCCCTGTCTGATCCTTCACCTCCAAGAAGTTTTATAGCCACCTCCTTAAAGCCTAGGAAGGAAATTTGGGGATTCTGTTTTAGTCACAGCCTTAGTTTCCCTCAGTAAAGTATCATCATATAACACCTCAACAAATTTCCCCTTCAACATTTTATCCATATGTTGGGCTCCATGTTGTTCTAACTTTTCTATTGCTTGTAAAGCCTCTTGTAATCCCAGTGCGTATCCCCTTAGTCTCCCTGCTGGACTCTGTATTCTGGAGAACTTCTTCAGTTCTGCCAAGGTGTGAGTGTGACAGGTTGGATCACAGAAACCCCTTGGGAGCTGCCACCCGATGTGCCAAGACTACTCCTATCCCTGTTTTCTCTGCTAGCTCAGAACTCCCATCTGTCTGGCTTTTGCTGAGCCAGACATTCCCGGCTGCTCCAACACAGACCCAGGGTCTGAATAACTTGCCCCAAAGCTGCAGGTTTACCTGAAAACAGCTCACCGAAGTGTGCTTGTCTTTAGCACTCAGATGCCCAACTCCCAATGGGGTCTAAACCCAAATAAATCCGTTTTACCTTGTATAAAGCTTATACAGGGTAAACTCATAAATTGTTCACCCTCTATAACCCTGATAGAGAGATATGCACAGTCGTTTGCTCCCCCAGCTATTAATACATACGCTGAGTTAATGAATAAGTACAGAAAGTAGGATTTAAGTTGTTCCAAGTAGTAACAGACAGAACAAAGTAAGTCACCAAACAAAATAAAATAAAATGCGCAAATCTATGTCTAATCAAACGGAATACAGATAACCTCACCCTCAGAGATGCTTCAGTAAGTTGTTTTTTTTCCCTCAGACTGGACACCTTCCGGGCCTGGGCACAATTCTTTCCCCTGGTA